TAAGCTCCCACTGTGAATTTAAAACTTACCCTCATGGTGGTGAATTTTATTCTTTGAATTCTCAAGACAAGTACCTGAAAGCCACTGGCTCTGGACAGCTTTGGTGGACTTCAAGTCCCTGGGATCCTCGTTCTCCAAGCTAAGCCCATCCCATCTCTGGAAAAAGAACCATCATTCTCAAAGACACCCCAATATCTCTGCATCATCTACTATTCACAGCAAGTTAGCCTGGATGGGGAACCATTGAACGATTCCATGCGATTTCCTAATTCTAGTCCAGGGACTGAGCTCACTTCAGCTGATATCAGCTGTTTTTTATCTCTGTTTGATGAAACAAAGAAATGGGGATTTAGACTTTGTATTTGGACTTTCAGGAGAAAGTCTGATCCTTAGCAAGTTTCTTTCCAGTTGGTACACCTTGGGCCTTACCTTCATTTGAGTTTGATGTTTCCTTTGAGTTGTCTGGGTTCTTCTTGAGCCATTTTGGCAGCATCCATTTGGCTTTGTCTTTCAGGGCTCTTTTGAGCCAGTGTTTTTGTTACATGACTGGCCTTGCCAATCTGGAAGCACTTTTGAGTGCTTTTGAGAATTTAGAATTCTGTTGTGTTATGAGCACACTATGCCAGAAACAGACGGATATGTTTATATCTTTCCATAATGTCAGAATTTATTGAATAACAACAAATTTAAAAGGCATAGTGGTTTCAGTGGTAGCTGTTTAATCCCACCCACTTTAGTAATCTGGCCAAGATGAATGCGGTTTCTTTCATTTCAAGCTTAATTACTAATATTAACTCTCACATTGTTGCGGGTGCTATGAGCAGAGAGAAGAGACACCTAGGCATTTTTCTTTTCTCCAGGAATCAGTTTATTGTGCCAGCACTGGCTCTTTGGGTTTATACCCAAAAGACAGAGCCCTGAACAAAGAAAGACCTAGCCTTTTACTCTTCGTTAGTTTCCCTTTGTAGTTCAGTCTGTCTCTCATACATGGTAATACACGTATCTTGATTGGGTGCTGGTGCTACAGGGTGGTGACAGGCAGAACTGGCTATGTGCACTCAGACCACACCATATGTACTCCCTTTTCTTTGTTCTAGAGTGGAGGTTCCTTTCGCATTCCCCGCTTTAATGATCAGAGCTCCTTTAGGGTCAAAGAGCATCATCTTGGTTTAGGAGTTGTGAATGACAAATTATAATGCCAAAATTACAATTGATAAGACAAGAAACAAATGACAGCAAGCTGTGTATTAGTTCTATAACAAAGTTACTGAAGAGAAAGACAAGTATGTAATTTTAAAATGGTTTTGACAGAAGAGATTTCATTCATTAAAAAAAATTGGTGCTGGGCATGGTGGCACAAGCCTTTAATCCCAGCACTCGGGAGGCAGAGGCAGGTGGATCTCTGTGAGTTCAAGGCCAGCCTGGTCTACATAGTGAGTTCTAGGCCAGCTGAGGCTACAGGGAGACCCTGTCTCAAAAAGACCAAAAAATTTGATTAACATTGCCTGACTTTTCTGTGCTCAGGTATTCATTAATAATATAGTATGAGAAGATGCAAGAATTTTCTCAATTATTATTGTTTCAATTAATTGATCATTGAATTAGCTCTTGCATGCAGAAGATTACCTGTCATTCAGTTGTTACTGTGACTTCTAGGACAAATGGACTCCCTCTCTATTTTTCCAACAACTGTTTCACAGGATTAGAAAAATGGTCATTTCTTCCTGAATTTTTAGCTAACTCTTTTGACAAAGTAGTTCCTGAAGAGCCTGAAATTGTTCCATCAGGAACTGTGTTACTGGGAGTAAAAGTGCAACATCTTCCATCAAGCCTTCCTTCAAATACCTTACTTTCCTGCTAGCCTTAAGTGTCATCCAGTCTTTCAGCTGCTGGCATGCAGCTGGCTAGATACTCCTTAAAGACATTCTTAGTATAACTGATAAATTTTTGTTAACTTACATTACTCCCCCCCACCCCCGTGTGCACGCACCAATTTACATTACTTTTTTAAAAAATTATTTTTTATTTTATGTGTATGAGTGTATTGCTTGCATGCAGTAGATGCACCCATGTTGTGCAATGCCCGCAGAGGTCAGAAGAGAGCTTCAGATCCCCTGGAACTGGAGTTAAGGGCAGCTGTTTGCCATCATGTGGGTGCTGGGAGTCAAACCTGGGTCCCCTGCAAGAGCAGCCAGTGCTCTTAACTGCTAAGCCATCTCTCCATCTCTCTTCTTACACTATTTTTTATTATTGACCTAGAATGTAGGCTATTTGAAACCTACAGCTGTTTGGTTTTTAGTCATAAATACGTTTGAAACTCTTACAGAGTCAATGTGGACCTCTCCTAGCCCTGGGATTAGCTTTACTAAGAGGAGGAGACTTGAAGACCAGGGTAAAGGATATAGCCAATTGAATCAATGGACAGATCCCTTACCAGTCAGGTAGTAGGCTTTAGTAAAAGTTCTCCCATTCATAGTACCACTACATGTCAGCTTAGGAGATATTGAGAGTTGAGTAATTGCTACTTGGCCATTCATTGCTGGAAATATTCAGGATGTGGGTTTAGGCTTCACAACCCCTTATAGGGAGAGAGAATCCATTCCTTTGTTATGTGAGACATGAGGAATGATTTACTCTCCCTGCTGGTAAGGAGGAGATTCCAGCTTGTATAGCTGGGAACAGAAAGAACACTCTGGACAAGTTTCATTTCCCCATGCACCCTGTAAGAGGGCCAGCATGCATCTGTATCATGTAACAGGGTCGGTATGCAATTTACTCCTGTGGGGTCTGTGTTCTATCCAAAGGGGAAGGGTACTATTTGATTCTGGAGATGTCCTGCAAGGACAACAAAACAATTATTCTTGCTGAGCACATGTACTGTAAATTTACTGCATTTTACCCAAGTATTTAATTATCCATGTCCAGTTTTATTTGTTAAGGTCTATATTAAATCTTTGATCTTATTTATATGTTACACACACACAAATGTGTGTGTGTGTGTGTGTGTGTGTGTGTGTCTATCTGTGTGTGTTTGAGACAGGGTCTCCCTGTAGCCCTGACTGGCCTGGAACTTGCTATGTAGAGTTGGCTTGCCTCCATCTCACAGAGATCTGCCTGCCCGTGTCTCCTGAGTGATAGGACTGAAGTCATGTACCACCACACCCAGTTGTTCTTGATTTTTAAAACTTGTCAGGCATCAACTTTTTATAAGGAATGCTGAGGTTTCAGTTACATTAATCACTAAGCTAATAGGAAAAGAATATGGACCAACTTTCTGACATTTTTATGTTATTTGAAACTCTGTTTTCTATATAACAGTGTGGGAACCCATCCCCCGATTCTCTGCTGACCTTGGGTTGCACCCTGGCTGTTGACCACAGTTACTGGAACACTCAGTACCACATGACCCACCCACAAGTTCCTGTTATTATGCTTCTCTGCAGCTGAGGCGGAGCCCTGGTGTTTTTTCCACTTGTCTGGGACTTTTCGACTGGGCTGCAGAGCGATATATATAGCAGGCTGTTCTGGCAATAAAGAATTCTCTCCACACGAATGACCCACTGATGTGTCCCTTTTCAAGTCCTCAGCCCCTCGCCCGACCTCCGAGTACAATTTTTAGTGCTGGTGCTACAAGTGGAGGTCCCACCAAGATCGGGAAAGAAGGGACAGTGCTGAAGGACCACCTGGGAGCCGGCCGGCAGGTAAGGGGGTGAATTGGTGATATGGGGACCACAGGGTCTACTCATCTGTTAAAAGTACAGTTAGTGGAACTGCTAAAGAAACAGGGAACTGGTATTAAGACACGCACAGCTAAGGATTTTATAAAGGTTTTACAACAGAGCAGTCCATGGTTTATATATTCTGGGGGGGTCTTAATATCCCGGATTGGGAGGAGGTCAAGAAGGATTTACGAAAAGTCTTACATGAAAAGGGCCCTGAGAGCATCCCTGTAGCAACCTTTTCTTTATGGAGACTGGTACGGGATGCACTCCTTAGTGATAATGCGAAAGTGAAAGAACAGTTAGCCAAGGTTAAAGTGGCTTTTGAGGGGGCCCAAGAAAAAGAATCTGAAAAGTCACTCCAAGCATGGGAGGCTGAGGATGGGGAAGATTCTGGGACCCCTGAGTCCTCAGGTGGAGATTCTGAGGACGAGGAGAGCAGTTTAGAGCAGGATATCAGGGTTCTATGAAGAAAGTTGAGGAAATGCAAACTTAATTCATGTCCCCCAGCTCAAAATCCTAGCTGCACCTACCGCTCGGGCACACCACAACCCTCGGTGCCTCGTGGGGGTCCGGGGGGGTTTCTTCCCTGTCATAGAGGTTCCAAACCCCAATCAACAGGGGCAGGTGCTTCGACAGCATAATCTATTAAATTTTAAAGACATAAAACAACAAGGAGGCAGTCAGCGCTTATGGACCCCATGCCCCATTTACACAATCTATCCTAGAGTCCTTCTCGGCTCTGCATTGCACACCTAGTGACTGGCAGCAGCTCTGCCTGGCAGTATTGTCAGGAGGGCAGTATCTTCTCTGGAGAAGTGAGTATCAGGAGAACTACCTCCAGACCGCTGCGCACAATGCTGCCGCGGGATTCCCACAAAGGAATGTGGAGATGTTAACAGGCACAGGCGTGTATTCTACCTTAGCCGCCCAGATTGTGTACGATTCTGCGGTGTATGCACAGGTGTCCACTACTGCCACGTGGGCTTGGAAGCAACTCCCTAACAAGGGGGCTGGAGAACAGTTGTCCAAAGTATTACAAGGACCCTCAGAGCCATTTGCAGATTTTGTGGTTCAGATTTTGCAGTTGGCCGCTAGGATTTTTGGGGATGTGGAGTCAGCTATGCCTGTGGTCAAATGGAAGGATCTTTCCTCAGGAAACTGGAGAGGCCCGGACCCGGTATTAGTCTAGGCCCGAGGATCTGTTTGTGTTTTTCCACAGGATGCCAAACACCCTATTTGGGTCCCTGAGCGTTGTGTGCGTGCTGTGTCTACACTTCCTGAGGAGCGGCAGCCAGGAAATGAGATGGACGTTGATGAAGAATCCCCCAATCTTGATGCCAGTGGAAATTGACAGTTTTGTCTGGCCAACGGTGGTCAGTACCAACTACACATTAGGGAAGGCTGCTATACCTGTGAGTTGGGAAATGGGTAATATTACAGGCAGCTTTGATCTCTCCAATGCCCTCTGCATTTCTAAGGTACTTAATATTTCTTTACTTAATAGCAGTAGCTCCCTCTTAGGGCCTTGCATTGTCTTCAGTAATTGGTCTGTCAGAGACTTTCAGGACAATTCCTCAATTGCCTCTGTGCTTGGGCTGGAAGGAATATGGGGTCCCATCAATTTAAACCGTAAGTACACCGGTTTTTCTTTACCTCCTCTGCCAGGGCCTCAGTGTTGGCCTGGCCCCCTACAATTTGAGGCTGTTGTCCCTATATTATGGGGTGACTATGTGACCAAAGAGCCTTGGCAACAATACCTCAGACCACCCCCTCTGGTGGTATGGACCTCAGCTTCCATTTAAAAATAGTACCACACAAGCATCCCCCTTTCATTACAGAAACCCTATGATGACGGCAGGGATCCCTACATTTTCACGGATGTTCCTCTGCAGACCTTATGCCTGCATGGATGCTGTCCCTCTAGTAGTGAGGGAAGCACGTTATTTCAATAGCACTATTTCCTGGAATACCTCTGCCACCTTTGAGGGTAGCCTCCAGTTTAAAAACACATCGCATAGTAAAAATATAACCCCCTCTTCTGACCCTTGCTTGTTTCCCCCTTTCTTCTTCCTAGTCACTAATGATTCTCTCTCAGAGATAAATAATACCTTAAACCGCTAGGAGAAAATGTGCCACCTGCACAGCTGTTGGGGTCCCGCGAGCTTGGCTATCCTGGTATGGGTCCCAGGCACCGTTCCAATGCTGGTCAATGTGCCGGGCAGCTACCCGGTTCACCTCATAAGGGAGAAGAGGGATTTTGGAATCACCATGGCAATCATCGCAACAGTCGCTTGTCTGCCGCAGCCGCCACTTCGGCTAGAGTAGCTCTTGCTCAAACAGCTGTCATGGCAGAGACTGTGGACAAACTATCGGGACGGGTGGCACAGGCCCTTGATAGTCAGGGTGAGATAAATTCTTTATTGCAACTGGGCATCCTAAAATTAAATCAACAAACCGCTCTGTTACAGGAACAAGTTGATGCATTGTGGGATATGCATATGTTAGTCAGCTCTCCTACATTTACCCATATCTGTGTCACATCTGCTAAGGTGCACAATGCCTCAGTAGCTGTGAAGGAGCTCAATAAGTTCTTGCAAGGACCATGAAATTCACAATTTCTAAATTATACTTGTCAGCTGACGCAACAAATCATATCTATAAATGAAACAAGAGTTCCTCCCATGTCCAGGGAGGCTTTTATAAAGGGTCTCTATGTAGTTGGAAAACTGTTTAAGAAATGGAGTGGATCCATTGCCCTAGGCCTCCTGGTCCTGGGCGCTGCAGTTCTAGCCTTGGTGTTTCTTTGCCGCTTACGCAAGAGGCAAATTCAGAGCCATATGTATA